TTGAGACATGACGTATTATACAAAGACAATATTCACAAATGTAACTAAAGACTATGAAATGTGCTCCTTAAGTTGCAAGATTTTAAAGGGAAAATGCATAATGTTATAGACTAAAGGAAATGCTGTTATAGACTAAAGATAAATACAATATTATATAAGTTATTGCTATTAGTTTCAACTTTCAACAAATGTAAAGAATTTATAATATATAATTATGCTTAAACAAATAATTAAAACATAAATTTTTTTATTAAAAGACTATAAATAGAGTTCAAAACAAACCGGCCCTTGTACAATATATACAATATAGAGTTGAATATTAACTAAACTCTATTTGCACCTAAAGTAAAAAATATTTCCTAAAACATTTGTAAAAAGGAAAGAAGAAGAGGACTTTACAGTGTGAAGTCAATCTTCCATTATGCTGTCGTGGCCATCAATGTTGCATTTATTATTAGCAAGGATTACCTCAAATATCCAAGTCAATTATTATAAATAAGATAGAATTCAATTCTATCAAAGAATGTGGTTAGACTATGGAACCTGACATTATGATAATGTAGGTCAAACAGAACAGTAGCTAACATATATGTATTTCGTCATTAAGAATGAAGGATTTCAAGGAGTAAGAAGCATCACTAACATGTCAAACTATATCTATGAGTAATATTTGTTCACTCACAGAGTTTTGTGACCAGGTTTTATTTATAAACTCTATCAATCACATGCAAAAATCTATCAGTTTTTAATGAAATATTAAAAGAAAAAGTTGTATCAGATGAGAGAAACTTCTAAGTTTTAGGTGCTGCTTTATATTTTTACTTTAAACTAATTTAGTTCTTGAAACATAATTTAGTTCTTTAAACTAATTTAGTTCTTGAAACATAATTTCATAAAAAGACGATATATAATTTTAATTACTAAGAAAAAATCCTATTCAATTCACATTCACACATACAATACCAGTAGAGTTTAATAGTTTTATTCAATCAATTTGATTCATCTCATAGATGAAGAAAATTATAAAATTAAAACGAGAGGAACTCACAATACAAATCCTTTACTCAAAAGGAACTTGCTCTGTAAGCAGAAGAAAATTATAGCTAGGAGAAAGCAAGGGTTGTCTACCACCAGTGTGTATTCTTTTATCTGAGAATGGACTTTGAAACTATGAAGAAAGAAGGTAGATGTCTGCAAACCGAAATATAGATGTATAAGGAAGATGAATATGACTTGAAGATTTCTACTTAGAATGTAAAGTTGGTCATTCGTAGAATATATCTTATCATGTATCAAAAGACTAGCAAACTTACAAGAATAACAATTAATTTGGCATCAGGGCTCCACACGGCCTCATGTTTTCTCCTTCACTCTGCAATGAATAAAAGACTAGAAAACTATTTTACATTGTCATGCATTATCATTAACTAATGTTTTAATTCACTAACATGTAGCTTTTAGTTAACAAGTTCATAATTAATTTACTAGAATAACAAAACATGAAAATGAACAAATGTTTTGCCTCATCTCAAATTTAAAAAAATGCAATATAAAAAGCGACAAGGCCATAGAACATTCCTATACTTTAATATAACAGAATGTTAGAAATGACCAAGAATTGAATTACCAGGGTGGTCAAGTTGTAATCTTGTACTTGTGTAAGTTCCTCCCAGACAAGCTATTGTAAAAGGAATCATGTCATTACTATTTATCAGATCCTACCTTTGTGCATTGGGATCAACCTTCAAAATAAAAACAACAGATGAAGTTAATTATATGTGCATAGCGATAGCCATAGTTTTCTTAAAAACCCCAAAAATCACGATGCATCTTGGATTTGGATACCTTGAGTGCTAGATAATAAGCCCCATCACTTGTTTTAACATCCCTCATAAAAACTTCAACAGCATTAACCTATAGAGGTTAAGAATAAAACTTCAACGAAGCCTTTGTTTCTTTTCACCTTGAACATTTCTTCTTCTGCAGAATAAACTCCAAACAAAGCCGTGGTTAATGTAGTTTGCTAAACCAACGAAGATAATCCTAGTGTTTTTGATACTTACCCCCTCCTAGCAAGGCATCATCAAGCTCCTACTTATCATCAGGAGTTATGGTCTTTGGCATAAAATTTAGACAGAATTCCTTATCCTACAATGCAGATCAAAACCAGAAAGCTCAATTTTGGTGTCCTGAACCAACTTAAACAAAGGAAATATAAAATTGAATTATGAAGCTGAAAAACATTATACTTTTGTAACAAACCTTGCGTGCTTTTGATGCAAAGATCTACGAATTGATTGAGTAGGATGAGTAGTAAGAACCAGATCAACAGTCTGGTTTTCCAGTGCATCAAAAACTTCCTAAGGAGACTTCTTCAAGCCAAATACAAGTTTCTTGAGAGTTTCTTCAATGTTTGATTCTGTAGTTGCATTGTTCTCATCTGCAAAATCTCCTTTCTTCACCTTGTTCCTTCGACGACGAGAAATTGGACCTCCTCAGCCAATTTGGCCAAGTTAAGCATGTGGGAAAAGGACATGGCAACAACAATAGAGTCCCCTGCATTCAAACAATAGAGTCCCCTGCACACGCATCACAAAGAATCACTGAGTAATTAACGGACCCCATCAACAGTGAACTACACAATCCATGCAGGCCAAGCATATAATTTTATTATAAAAAAAATTAATACACTCATTAATTACAAACGCATTGCGTCATAAACATTAGAAAAGCATTCAATTTCTCTATACAGGCAAATAACCAAAGGCGGTTATATCACCACGATGGATCTAAATCTGGCAAAGAAGCAAAACCCATACAACATATTATTAGCAAATGAAGCAAAAGAACACAGTACAAACAATTTTTTCTGCATCTAAGAAACTTAAAAAAGCAAAGGAACTCACTCACCTTTGGTTCCTTCACTAAGGGCCTTCATAATCAAATGGTATATGTCTCAGTCCTACATACCACTGACAATCTTCTTAAACCGCCAAACACTAGCCTAATGATGCTTCCTAACACTCCAACCACGGCTTGCGAGACCAACCACAAATGTGTCAAATAAAACAAAAAACGAAAAAGATTAGGGTTCGCGATTAACGATTTCATCGATTACTAAGCATTAGGATTAGGGTTTACTTACCAGATGAAGATACTCCTTCAGCGTCCAACTACGACACCCGACGAACAAGGAGATTCCTTGGTGAACGCCAGGAACACGACGGACACTTCGACAGAGAGAGAGGACACAGAAGCAGAGCAGACGGACAGGACTGTGAAGAGGGCCGGAGAGAGGGACAGGAGAGCGAAGCGGCTCGAGAGAGGGACGGCGAGAGCTCTAGGGTTCGAGAGAGAAAGGACTCGAGGGTTCGAGGAGAGACATAGCTCGAGGTTTTCAGAGAGAGTAGCTTGACGGTTCGAGAGGGATAGCAAAGAGTGAATGATAGGTTTCAACTTCTAATTAATCAAAAATACATTTTTTTTAAATTATTTTTGAAATCCGTATATAACATACTTTATTCTACTTACATACGGTTAATGGAAATTACATTGGGATATATCTTATGAAATTTTCCCGCCGTCACGCACCTACTTTATATGGAATTTATATACGGAAAATACATATATAATATTTGTATGTAATTTTTTTTTAAAATCCGTATATAATATCCGTATAAAATATTTAAATTATATACGGATTTATATCCGTATATAATAATCCGTATATAATTCTAATATTTCTTGTAGTGATTTGCATGAGGAACCCTTACTTTATTTAGCTTACAACCATAAGATATTAGTTTCAATTCTCCTCGGTCCTACGTATAACATATATGTTATCATATTATATAAATCACAAATTCATCATCAAATTAATAAGAACTTAAATTTTGTATACTTACCTCATTATTCCATAGTTTCAAAGCCACGTGATCAACATAGTATATAAGCAAAAATGTGTTAGATGGGCCTTCAGGAAACCCTTATTCACACTTTTCACCATCACCAATCATCTTAACTACAACAACAAGGTTCACATTTAAGCTTCACCATGGTTCCTCCTATAAACATGTCGTGGGTCTTTGTCTTGTAGTATCTTTGCTACTTGGGACATGGGTAGAACCATCACCTTTTGACATAACCATTTCTCTATATGAAAATCATCATATCAAAATCAACACATAAAAAATAATTATAACATCATGATACTAAATTTGACATACTACTTACATAACTTAAATGGTAACACCAAACCCAACCAACAAAATCAGTAAATGTAAAGAAAAAAATCCAATTCAAATCGGACTACCTAATCCGAAAGTCACTCCCAGATTTGGAAATCCATTCTGGATTGGGTAATTTGGTAAAATTCTACAAATTAATCAATCCAGAAAAAGTTTCCAAATTTGATAGTAACTTTTGAACTGGACAATCTAATTGGTATTGGAACTTTATTCTTTTTTTCTTCTCTTCACCAATCGTCATTTTCACTTGAAATCCAACTATCACAAAATATAAACATTATTTGATGTACTTATTCTTTTGCACCAAATAGAAAAAGAGAGTGAAATTATAAGTTATGTCTTCTACATGTGTGGAGGTGTGTCCTCGTCCTTGAAAGTTCAACTGTGAACAAAGGTTGATGCACAATGTTTGTTGGTTAGAGGAGTGGAGATGGGTGTAGAGAGATAGGATGTAACAATGACCTAGAGAACAAACAAGAAGATACGGTGCAAGGAGATAGATGGAATGCAACATCGTTATGAAAGGGGAAGATGAGAAAGAACATGACATTAAGATTTTTAAGAGGGTTAATGGGGGAGGTGCAGGAAGGAAAAAGGGGTGCAGAAAGAGTTTGCTTTTCCTTTCTGTATGAAATTGTCGGCCCGGGCCAATTATCTATGGGCAGAATAAGCCCATGTTGGCCTTTTCATGATTCATCCCGCCTCCAAAATCAAAATGGCGAGACAAATAAAAATTCCCTCGCTTTTATTTATTTTTCAAATAAAATAATAAATAACTAGTTACCATATCAAGTCTTCCTCCACAAGTTTGTTTCTCATTTTGCCGCTGGTTTCTTCCGTTTCCGCTTCGCATGATGGAAGCTAATTACGTATCGCGAGTGTTTCGCGGTGTTCGTTTTGTTCTCCGTGGCTTCAATCCCGCCGCCGAAAGCCAGGTTTCTCTATATCCTTCTCTATTCTGTTTCCCGAGAGGGTTTCTCTTCTTCCGTAAGGTTTTTTTATTTATCCCTTGAATTGCTGCTTGTGATTTTGTAGATCCGGTTTAAGCTTGAGGATGGCGGTGGACTTGAAGCAGGGCAGTACGGTGGGAGTTGCACGCATGTCATTGTCGATAAGATTGCTTATGTGAGTTTAGTACGATTTGCTTTTCTTTAACCCTATCATCGGCCTTCATTTTAAAGAGAGGGAGAATTATGTGTTGTGCGCGTAGGACGATCCTCTGTGTGTTGCTGCTAGAAAGGATCGGAAGACGCTCGTCACTGCACTCTGGGTTGATCACAGTGCTGATATCGGAATGCCCATTGATGCTTCTTCGGTTAGTTTCTTCTTCCATTCCCTTAGTTGGAGTACCTTTCTTTAGCATGAAATGTTGACTTGAGTCCGCTTGGAACAACTTATTTGGACTTCTCTTATGGTAGAAGCACTTACAGATTAGGAAACTACCTAATGCTGTGTCCATAAGGTGTTTTCAACCTGAGTCCTCTGGGTAGTATAAGATAATAACTTAGTTTTTGTGGAAATAATTCAGTCATTCTTTTTTTATGTTTTGAAATAACTTATGTATAAATCTTTATATTATAAGCATTTATTTAGTAAGTACTTGATTCAGCTGTTTACTTTCTCTTCGTGATGTGTAGTAAACTCAACGCGGTGGAAAGACTATGTTAGTTCCACATTATAAAAATTTAAAAAAAGATTAGAAATTCCGACCAATTAGTTAATTGGTATTGTTTGCACTGTGTCTAGACATCTTTTGACTTCCGAGTCACTTTGAGAGCCAGTGGGTGGTTTTTTTTCTTGTTCTGCTCTGTTGGATGAATTTGTAGTAATTTTAACCTTTAACTCAACAAATTGAGTTTTCCCCATTTGGCAGGTTATGTATAGACCTCCTAAAGACTTGGATGGAATACCAGGTGCAAAAGATTTGATAATGTGCTTGACTGGTTATCTACGCCAGGATCGGGATGACATTATGGTGGGTATCTGTTATACTTTACCGTGTGATTTATTCGGAGAAGGTTGTGCGCTTTGTTTTGTGAGTTTACTTGAATTCGCCTTATTTTCCCTTTTAGACCATGGTCGGCCTGATGGGTGCGAAGTTTTCTAAACCATTGGTAGCAAACAAGGTTACTCATCTCATATGCTATAAATTTGAAGGTTTGTCTCATTTTAGTAAATCCTGCCATTCACTTGTAACTGCGTGTGTATGCTTTCATTGTTCTCCTAATTGCTTCATATTACAGACTATTCAATGCTTATGATTTTTTCGTTTTGTTTGTTAATTCTGTTTTAAAATTCAACTTTCAATATAGGAGAGAAGTATCTGCTTGCCAAGAGATTGGGCACAATAAAGCTAGTCAATCATCGTTGGTTGGAAGATTGGTATGTATGTGTATCCTGCTACCTTTACAAGGATGTGAATGAATCTCATCTATTTGACACTTTTTCATTTGACTTGTTGGGATTATATAAATTTTAAGTTTTCTTCAAATGAAGTTCTGTTTATTTTTTCAGCTTGAAGGAATGGGTGCTTCTTCCTGAAGACAAATATAGCAAGAGGTTAGGCGTTATATCACTTACAAGTGCAAATATGTCACAATAAATTTTTATCCACATCCTAGCATGCAATGCAAATGTAGCATTTCGGATATTATGTTCATGAAAGCTGAATGGGAGTAGTATTCTTCTTTCTATGCTCGCATATTTATCATACTCTTGTATATTTAGAGATTGTCTACATGCCACACTTTGTTTCGTGTTATTCGACGACCTTGATAATGATTGCGGGATATGATCTCATTACTCAAGGAAAATATAGCTCAACTGTACTTGGGTAGACTATAAGATGTCCTTTGCTCTACTCAACATCTTATTGCCAATAAGAATAATGCACCACGTCGTCGTTAGTACTCGCATTCTTCAGCATTCCTTGATGATTTATGACTTACACTTATGCACTTGCCATGTTCAAATAGTGTCACATAATAAGGAAAATTTATTAAGTTTACTTTAAACTAACTGTCATCGAGTCTTGTGGATGAACTACTTAGTCATACAATATAGAAAATGAAAACGCGGCTTATTGTAAGAGGCATTTCAGCTTATAGTTGAAGATTTGTGATTAAATCACTTGTTCTTCCTAAGATTAGATTACTTTCTATAAGCTTTTAAAAGATCTTATCTTTGCAACTAATTACTGAAGCTTTGTTCCTTTTCAATAGTGGTTACGAACTAGAAATGACGGAGGAAGAGGCCAAGGATTCTGAGGAAGAGGGTGAAGATTCTAAGCTGGGACAATCAGGTGGGAGAAATATACAACAAAGCTCCCTTGGTTCAAAATTTGGGCATGCTGGAACTCATGGATTGTTGAAATCAGTAAAAGAGGCATCGAGCAACTTACCAGATTCTACTGGTCCACGGGTTTTGCCAAATTTCAATAATGGTGAAGACTCTTTAACCATTCCCGGAAACAAGAGAAAATCTGATCAAGCCTCTAGCTTTTATAATGTTGATGACTCAAGGATACGCTATCAGACTCCTGATGTTTCTAAATTACCTGACAAATATACAAACACCACTGAGTCTAAGAATGCTGATTTTCCAAAGGCACTTGGCTGCCAGGACCCTGGCAATACGGCAAATACTAAATCATCTGTTCAGCAGTCCGGTCTGCATGGTAACACTACGGAGTCTAAGAAGTTGGTAAGTGAATTGACATCAACATCTGCAAGTGCAGCTGGAGTTGCACATTCAAATGAAAAGCTTAGAATCACAAGTTATTCTATAGAGAACCAAAGTGAATTTTCTGTCCCAAGGATATTAGACGGAAGCTCCGGCATAGAAGGCAACAAATGTGAAAACAGTAAGATTGACGAGGCAATTGGGTTTATGAAATCTACCAGTTTTGAAATTTCTGGGAGAGGAAATGATTTTACTAAAGAGGATGAACCAATTAGTTTATTGTCTCAAAAGAGGATAAATGAACCTTCTTTTACGAAATTAAAATCAAGAAAGGTGTCTTCTGATGCAAAAGTCTCCACCCAATCAGCAAATGGTAAACCTCAAGGATTAAAAGTGACGTCTCAGGTTGATGAGCCACCCAAAGCCGGTCCTAACACCAACTCACTGGCATTTGATGAGCATTTCTCAAGAAATCCCAGCCCAGAATCTGCACAGTGGGATAGTGTCTATCAGAATAGTCCACAAACAGCTATTCGGAGCTTAAGTGAGTCTAAAATTAGTGGCAAGCCTGATGTCACAAGTTCTGGAATGCGAGAAGTTGGTGGTAATGAAATCGGGCTGCATATTACCAAAAGTCTTGATTCTTCATCAAAGGGAAACAAAATCTCACATAATGTGGAATCCGGTGGTTGTACTAACTTGGATTTAAGCAATGAAGAATGTAATAAACTGGTTAGAAAATCACCCACAAAGAAGTCAGTTGTCAAGGGAATTTCGGGTTCTAAACCTAGAGTAGGTGCCACTGCTACACATAAAAGATCACTTTCCTTGAATAAAACTAACCTTGGTGAAGGTGTAGCTTTATGCAGCGAAAGCGAAGAGATTTGTGATGCGAAGATGCATCAGGGTTGTCACCAAAACCGGGATATTAACAAAACGATGGAGCAAGATGCAGTATGTAAAAATGCAAATGATGCTTCTGACAGAGCTGAGTTCTTGACGGATGAAACAGAGGCTCCAGATGATAAATATGAATTTGAGTTTGGAATGGCACTAAATAAAGAATCAGTCCATGCTTCGGAAAAGCCGAATAGAGCAACAAAAGAGAAGTCAGAAGCAATTTGCCGTGCAACAAAATGTGAAGAGGCAAATCCTCCTAAGAGAGGCACAAATAAAGCAGAAATACAGAAAACGTCTTCGCTGTTAGTAAAGACTCAAGCAAGAGAATGTGCTGCTGGTAAAGCCAATGCCACAGTTAATAAATACGTAGGCGATGCTGGTGACAGAACTGAGACTTTGGATGATGAAACCGAAGATCCAGATGACAAACTTAAAAATGTGTTAGGAGTGGCACCTGAAGAAGAATTGGTTTATCCTTCCAAAAAACGAGATAAATCCACTAAGGTTCACCCTTCAAGAAAACAAGATAAATCTACAGAAGAGAAGCCAGAAGCAATTTGTCCCGCGCCAAAATGTGACGAGGCAATGCCTCCTCAAGGTGTCACAAATAAAACCGAAAAACAGAAGCCATCTTCACTGGTAGTAAGGAAACGTCCTGCTGGTAAAGCCAAGGCCACAGTTGCCAAGCATTTATCGAAACCTAAAGTTGTAGTATCTACGGAGAAGATTCCTAATGAAACGGGGCACGAGGCAGAGATAGAAACTGTGGAAGAAATGCCCTCTTCTGCTGATAAACGTGACAAGTCGGCCTTAGCAAGAAATAAGTCAGAGACTTTAGCTGAAGACGAGAAGGAGAATAGACCAATTGATTTAATGCAGGATCCTGTGAAGGGTAGAAGCAATGGCAAATCAACCAATAAATCTAATGTAAGGCGAACAAATATCAAGTCGACTAAAGTGGGGCCCATTTCATCTATATCAGAATCTAACACGAGAGTAAAAACTGAAGCGGCATATTTTATATTAAGCGGTCACCGTCTACAGAGAAAAGAGTTTGAGCAAGTAATCAAGCGCTTAAGTGGAAGGGTTTGCGGGGTTTCTTCTCACAAGTGGTCATATCAGGCGACACACTTCATAGCTCCAGACCCCTTACGCAGGACTGAGAAATTCTTTGCTGCGGCTGCATCAGGAAGGTAAGGAATATCAGACAAACTAAAATAAAGTTCATATACAATGCCCCTGCTTAAACACGGTGTGTTCAAACCAAAGCAAGCCGGGAAGGAAATCTTTTATTGTTAGTATAACAATGTAGTTTGGCTTTCTTTGATTATAAATAAAAATTCAATCTTTTGGTGGAATGCAGGTGGATTCTGAATACGGATTACCTAACTGCCAGCAGTCAGGAAGGAAGACTCTTGGCGGAGGAGCCGTATGAGTGGCACAGGAATGGTCTCAGTGAGGATGGAGCAATCAATATGGAGGCTCCGAGAAAGTGGCGGCTAGTTAAAGAAAAAACAGGTCATGGCGCCTTCTATGGAATGCGTATTGTTGTATACGGTGATTGCATTGCTCCGCCTTTGGTATGTTTTGTTTAATGTTCTTTTACTACTTGCCAATGCTTACCCTGACTTTCATCCGAATTGTATTAGACTTTAAGGATGGTCTCTATTTTTAATGCAGTTTTTGTTTGTATAATCAATCAATGAAAACGAGTTTCCAACCATTTCAACTGCGTTTTATTGACGATGACTTGTATTTCTGCCCCAACACAATTGTTTTACAGGATACTCTTAAACGTGTCATCAAAGCTGGCGATGGAACAATATTAGCCACTTCTCCTCCTTATACAAAATTCATTGGGACCGGAGTCGACTATGCTGTAGTTAGCCCTGGCATGCCACATGTTGATATCTGGGTCCAAGAGTTCTTAAAACATGAGATACCTTGTGTTGTAGCGGACTATTTGGTTGAGTATGTTTGCAAGCCCGGGTTCTCCCTCGGGAAGCATGTGTTATACGGCTCTCATGTTTGGGCAGAAAAATCCTTTGATAAACTTAAAAGCAAAGCAGAAGAGATTGTTGCTCCTGAGGATTTGAGTAGTGATGATGATGATGATGATGATAATGATAATGATAATGATATAATTTGCCAAGTGTGTGGATCCCGCGACAGAGGAGATGTAATGCTGATTTGTGGTGATGAAAGTGGTTCTGTTGGGTGTGGAGTGGGTACCCACATCGATTGCTGCGATCCTCCGCTAACAGACGTCCCTGAGGACGACTGGTTTTGTTCAAAATGCAGTACCACCCGAAACTCCTCAAACAATCCCACTAAAAGGAAAAAGAATGTTTTATCATAAGCTAAGACCAAGTGATTGTTTTACCTTTGCACCTTCCTTTCTATGTCTTTAGTTGTCATCTACACAACAATAATGCTAATGTATAATCATTTGTAATTAACAAAATTAACTTATTTCAAACATGTTTTTATCGACTTGGGGTTGAATGGCAAGAGGTTTCTAACCAGTCAAAGTGTTACATATTCTGAACATAGTTTGTGTAAAAACGGTCATTTTTCTTTCTAATTAATTTTATTAGTAATTTTTCAAGATATTAAATTTTGAATTTAGATATTTTAATTTAGAAAAGGTACACAGTTTTACATGTAGCTACTATTGAAAAGTGTACGATAGTTCTCATATGCCATAAATAGTCATAATAATTGATTGATTAAAAACATGTTGAAGAGGATAAACTGGATCTTTTCAATATACAAAGTACATGACGAAAGATGAAAAAGTAAGTTGAAAGTTTCTTTCCAGTATTTGGGAAAGTAATTTTTTTTCTCACATAGCATAATTTTTTTTCTCACATAGCATAATTTTTTTTTCTTTACCACAGTACACAGTAACCAATATTTACACAATCAAATTCTGAATTTTATTTCAATAATTTTCACAAAAAATATATTAAAATTTAGTTTTGAAAAACCGAAATCTAATTTTATCAAAGATTTAAACAGTTTTCGAAAATAGTTGAAAACGTTTTTTGACCGTTGAAAGCTAAAATAATTTTCAAAAACCAGTGAAAATTATGTTAACAATTTTCGAAAATTGTATTAACGTCCGAAAATCGTTTACCACATTTTAAAAATTTTAATTTTTAATTAATATATTAATAAATAATTCATTTCTTTTAATATTTTAATATAATTTTTTAAATTTAATAAATTTTTTAAATTACTTTTATAAAATTTAAAAAATATTTAATAAATATTTTAATAATATTAAAATAAACTAAATATTTTAAATTTTATAATAAAATAATTTAAAATTATTTATAAATTCAAAAAAATTATATTAAAATATTAAAATAACATAATCATTTATCAAAATTTAAATTAAAAAACAAAATTTAAAAAGATATGTTAAACGGTTTTCTTTAACATTTTTTTAAAATTCTATTTTTAAATTAAAATTAATAAATAAATAAATAATTTATTTTAATATGTTAAAATTAATAAATAACTAATTTCTTCCGTAATTTTTACACTATTATTATTATTATTATTATTAATTTCATAATAATTTATAAAATAATAAAATATGAAAAATAAACTAAATAATTTTAAATTTCATTATAAAAGTAATTTCAAAATTTTGTTAAATTCCAAAAAACTTACAGTAATATATTATAATAAAAAAAATCATATCTCAAAAATTTAAAAATATGTTAAACACCTAATTTTAAAAATATGTATTAAAATATTAAAATAAATTAAATATTTAATAAAATTAAAATTAAAAAATATGTTAAACGGTTTTTGAAATAAGTTAACATGTTAGGGTTTGACATAAATTTTTAAATTGTACTTTTTATTTAAAATTTTAATAAATAATTCATATATCTTCATAATTTAATATAATTTTTTCAACTTAACAAATTTTTTAAACTATTTTTATTATAAAATTTAAAAATATTAATTCATTTTAATATAATTTAATATATTTGATTACTTTAATAATTATTATGATAATTATAATTCTAATAGTAAAACTAAAAATGATAATAATAAAAATAATAACATAAAATCTGATTTAATATATTTTAACAAACTAAATTATATTAAAATAATAAAATAATTTTATTATTTATTAAATTTAAATTAAAAATTAAAATTTGAAAAAATAACATATGTTAACAGTTTTTTAAAACATTCAACAGATTTTTTAAAATTTTATTTTAAAATTTAAAATAAATAATAAATATATTATTTTAATACTTTAATAAGATTTAGTATGTTAAAATATATTATTATTATTATTATTATTATTTTAATTACATTATAATATTAAAACAATAAAATATATTAAATTTTATTAAAATAAATTAAATATTTTGAAATTTTATAATAAAAGGATTTTAAAAAAATTTCAATTTAAAAAATTATATTAAAATATTAAAATAAATCAATTAAAATTAAAATTATCAAATGTGTTGTGACCATCTTATAAAGGATGATTGATTTTCGTGATGTGAGGAAATAATAACCTGTGGCCATACTAACAAGGAAATATAGATAGCTCGTGAGGCGCCCGAAGAACATGCCCTTAACAATTGAGGAGGTCGCAATGTATGCAACAAACGTTTATTTGCATCTAGTTAGCAACATGTTTATTTGATGATCTCTTGACTTATGTTAATTTCATGTAGTACTAGCGTTTGAATTATGTCTTATGTTGTTTTGAACATCAAATTAATGTTTGAAATTAAAGAACCTCGTATTTATTATTTTCATTTATATAATTTGTTTATATAATATAAATATTAGAGTTGATGCAAGTCTACATAACTAGTATTCACGCCTTTGCAACCTCTTAAGATAAAAAGATGGTCATGCCCGAACCTCTGAGTAACAATGGGTAGACGATATGATATCCACCATCAGTAAAGGACAACCTTCTTATAAGTGAACGTGTAAAGATAAAATTATTAAATGAAAATTACTTTATACTGATACAAAATACTAATAATTTTCTTGCATAAAATGAGAACCGTGAATATGTCCTATACTTATTAGTCGATATTATCTTATATTAGAAGGTGGTCTACTACATAGTGAGAAGAGTGTACTATTTTGAACCAATGACAAACAAACTAGATGACATTTGTTGATTAGTAATAGTGTAATCCATGTATGGTATAGTCATCCATTTATTTATATTAGCATGTAATTAATGAAACAAATTGTTATGAAAGAAAAAGGTAAGACATAATAAGTAAAGTATAAAGTATAGCAACACACATCCTTAATTTTGAGTCGACTAGGAAATACTTCATTGGTTCTTCTAATCGATCATAACTTCCTATTAATCTTGCATATTTATTTATCATGTCATTGACTAAGTCAAGATCTTGCATCAAATTTAGCTTTAGATGATATGTCTTTTTTGATGAAGAATTATCATGTCTTGAATGCAAAACGTCTATTGATAAATTTGATAAAAACACTCACTTTCTTACATTTTCCTAACTCCATTAATATCTCCTGATATAAATTATTTTATAAAATAAAAATAAAAATTAATAGTAAAGTGAAACACATTTACATTTATTTGACACATACTATAAGAATAAATTGGTCATAAAAATATAAATTTTTATATATTTTTAAAATATAAAATAATAAAAAAGAAGATATTATTAAATAAATGTAAAAAAATTATTTGATATATATTATAAAAATAATGTAACACCCAAAAATATATAGTATAAACTATATAAATAGTAGTCAGCATTATAATATGATAGAACAGTTAAAGACTTGTAGATAAAGAGTTAATCTTAAAGTCATCCACAATGACTATAAAATTTGAAACTTTATATACAATAGAATATTTCAAATTTATACAAAACAACTCAGAAATCCTAACTAAACTAAACAACAGCGTCATCACCCTCCAAGGCCTGCTCCAAGGACACCTCGTCTACCTCTGCTCACATCCAAATGGATGATCATCGCAAAAGAAAACACCACATGAACAACATACAAACACAAGCAGAAGGGTGAGCTAAATATACAAAGATCATACAATAATAATAGCCTAAAACATGCAAAGTTCATTAAAAAGAAGTATACTAGATCACACATCCTAATATATTATATTCTAGACTTGACTCGTCCGTACTTAGAATGATTGCCGAGCTATGGCGGGTCATGCACTCGTGGTGACCTCTACTGCTTTGCAAAGTCTTTGCCAATGGGTTTCACCCTACTACACTCACGAGGTTAGTCTGTTCCGGGCCTTGAGGCATACTGGAAGCCCTCAAGACTAAGACCTCCTGCTACTCCTCACGACATGGTTCAATCCTCTCTACTTGAGAATGAAAGACCATTGGATTTTCAGGATAACCCTCAAGGCTGAGCTCCTGCATTCATTCTAAACAACTTGGAATCTCACCAAGAGATTCTAAACAACTTGGAATCTCACCAAGAGATTCTACAATGAAACTTATATTCACCCCTTTGAATCACATACTTTTATCTGTAATTGAACCCACAATACTTCTCAATTATATACAAACATCCACCTTCAAACATAATTCACAATACATATCACAAGTAATTTAATCAAACTCAATACAAAGTAATAAAGAGTAAATTGTTCCAGACCTTTTGCTCTGCGCACCCAACTCTCAAGGAAAAATTAGGAGTCCCTCGCACAACGACTTGTCTCGCTATTCGAATTAACTCGCAGAGGTACCAGACCTCAACCTCTAGCATAGCGCCCCAGGTTGCTATACGAGAACCCAGACAGAGACCAACCTTCCCAAACCACTCGCTATGCTTCCTTTTTCGCTATTAGAATAAAATTAGAAATAACTCCAGACCCCAACCAGGCGCATAACACCCTGATTCGCCATGCGAACCACTAGACAGAGAGCAACCCTCTCCAACCATTCGCACAACGCTCAAACTCGCTGTGCGAATGTTCAAACAGAGAACAACCTCTCAAGTCATTTGCACAACGCACCAACTCGCTGTGCGAATGCCCTTGGTAGAGAGCAGCTCGCCATAGCGACTCGCTATGCGAAACTATTCGCACAGCGAGTCTGCATAATCTGCAGAACAAAATTCTGCAGGTTTATGCAACTCAAGCACAACATACCAATTCTAACTATTTTTCCCAACTTCTAACACCCATAAATTTTATTTTATACCTAATTAGACTTATATAAGTGATTCTAAACCTTTCTACTATCAATCTAAAGTAATTAAGACTCAATTTCTACTCTAAAACTCTAAATTCAATAACTTAAGGACCCAACTTCAATTCTACCACTTTTCACCTATTTCTGACTATTTTGATGACTCTAATAAGTCACAATTAACCTTCCTAGATTGCCCCAAACTACCAAAAGATCCTTTGACCTCTAATTCTCAAATTCACTACCTCACTTCCTCTAAAAATGCCCCAAAACACCATAATTCACTT